CGAGCATAAATATTTTCCACTTCGCTTTACTTACTTATTTACTATTTTAAAAAGCATAATAGAGCACCGTCTCTGAGCAGGAAGCCTGAAAAAAATACTAAGAGGTACAGGTGTTTTAATGACCTTGTATGGAGAGTCTAGATGTGGAAACAAAAAAGGGGATTATGGTCTGAATGATTGGGCAGACTGTGTATCAGGAGTGTGAAGGAAACAGAGCATTGTTTAGGCATCAGTTTCTTGACCCAAGCCTTTGTTGCAGGTTTCATAATAAGGTAGCTTCTCATAATTAAATCTGGAGAAAGTAACAAATGTGAATAGAATGTGTTTAAGAGATAGCTTTATTGGAGCCTCCCTCCACCCCCATTTTAGACATTTGTTGCCTTCAGTAAGATTGTAGATAGATACTGAAGAAAACAGCCCAACCCTTTTCTTATCATGCACTGGAGATGGCAGACTGCAGAAACCCAATGGCATTTTATAAAGCATCGCAACAAGAACTGGGACTTGCCAGGTTCCATTTATCTAGCCAAGAATATAATTCTGTGATCTATCCCAAGGAGATTTTCAACAGAGTCTTACACTTACTGTCTGAATTAATGATACTGCTTTTTTTCCTTAGCCGTGACAAAAGCCACTCTGCACTTTTATACATTATGTTAAAGTTTTTTTGTAGTGAACATACTCTATAAAAGCCCTTTCTGCTTCATCATTTTGACAAGCCAATTCCACTAAATCTTCCATGATCATCATGTTCTCTTTTTAACTTTTTCAATTCCAGAAAACAGCAAACATTTCTGAGTTACAAAGCACCAAACAGCTACAGACTCACTTGCTATAAGGTAAGTCATCTGTGTAGAAGTCTGTAACAAAAAATGTAAAACCAAGTGCATTTCCAGTTATCAGCTGTACACTTAGCTTTGACAATTATGAAGAATCCATGTCTATTCAATGGGACTTGTCTCCTTGGTCTGGTAGGCACCCTTTGAAAATAACATATTATGAAACTGTTAACCTTGATAACTTTGGATCCCTCAAATTGTTTCCCCTGTTGAATTTACCTCTTCGAAGAGTTGTAGACTCAAAATGCCTGTGTCATAAATTACTTTTCAGTTGTTTGGTTTTCTTACTGTTTTCTTGGCCCTTTGACTTATAAATTACAAGGCCGAAAGTGGCATCTCACAAAATACATTTTTTAGGATGATCAACCTTAACTCTTGCTATAGCAAAAAGAACTTTTTCTGAGTTGATAGCAACAGTAATAAGATTCCAGCCTTCCTTGAATGTTTCCAAGTGAAATGTCAGCTGACAGATAACTGCAGCTCACATAGCATGCATTCTTGTTTACAAGAATTTGGAACCTTTGTATTTTCCGCTAACGTGTTTTTCCATAATGCAGTTAGGTCTCCTTGTTTTAACAAGCAAGGATGTCACATATGACCACAGCAGTGTTTGATTTTTATGTAGTAACCAATTAGTTATCAGATGCCAATTTAGGGGAGCTCGATCGGTTTGCCTGCACTGGGTGCCGAGCCGAGAGTGTGCCACAGGGGGCACAGCAACAATGGCAAACAATGGAAGTCGAGAGGTGGTAAAGTGCCAAATTTTGGCATTGCACAGGGCACTGCTGAAATTTTAAAGCCCAAAGTCTGCCACTGCAGTTATCTTCAAACGGGGGACACGATAGACAAGGCAGTGGATGCACGAGACTTATGAGCTCTCAGCATAGTGCAACCACTGGTGTAATCTCTGGTCCAGTCTGTCCCCCGCACCAGGTCTTACTGCCGTCAGCCTTACTGCTCTTGCTGCCATCAGAGCCCTTACATGGCACAGCTGATTGCTGCCACTACCACACTAATCACTTGCTTTACCCCACATCCTACCAGACATGCTTTACCTGGCAGGTGTGAGCAACGGTGCTTAAGGGATCTGAGGCAGTTTTTAAGTAGCCAAAATGGCTGGAGATCAGCAGACTTGGAAGAAACACATGATTTCCAGAAGTAATATGTTTTTTTAAAAAAAAAAAAACCTGGAGGGCAGTGGGGAATGGGTGAGCATCATGGAGGACAGAGCATGCTCAGTGGCTTTGGAATGCTGGGTGACTGTTTCGATGGCTGAGATAGAAAACCAGGAAAAAATGCTAGGGGGCATAAATGCTAGGGAAAACCAGGGGAAATGCTAGAGGGCATAATTGGCAGGATGCAACACAGCAACATTTTCTTATGGACCTTACTTGTGTTTTGAATACTGGTGGCTGGCTAGCAACAATGGGACAAGAATGTTGCCCTCTTGCCTTGCTTGTGGACTTTTCAAGATGCATCTGGTTGACCATGATGAGAAAGAGTGTGATAGCTGGATTACAGGATTTGATCCGATCAAGAAGCTCTCTTTCTGTGTATAGGAAGTTGACCTAGAAAAGAGGTGTGCCCTTCAAATGATGAGCAGGTCTCTGATGTGTTTTAGAGATACGTTTTCCCAATTCTGCATCTCCACTCAGATGTGTGTCTAGGCAGTAACTTTTCCCCCATGACTTTCTTAATATTACAGTGTTTTATATTGCTGCCATACCGCATTCACAAGTGCTTCCACTTATGAATAGAGTTTTGTGATATCTGGGCCGGTTGCTTACCAGGCAGCATGGAATTCAAAGCAGTTACTTTCTAATGCAGAAAGTATAAGAAGAGATAGACAATTGGTTGCTGATGGTACCAAAAAATGAGCATCACATATAGTAGGAATAATTTTAAATTACAGAATAGCAAATCACATTTGTGAGTAAGTGTTAAGAAAAAAATGGGGAAAGAGGTACATTAGACAATTCTGCAGTTGCAAACACAGGCATGCACCATAGCCATGCTAATATTTTGGAGTATCAATCTATGCACATTTAGACATTTCCATACCCTGAATAAGTTTCCTTGGGGGGCAGGGAGGAAAGGGAAGGATTTGTTCACATATACCAGAGATGGGAAGTCATTGTCAACACAAGGCCCACATTTCCCCACGGACAATTTTCCAGGTGTAAAGGAACGGACTTGACAAGACAACAATCTGGGATAAAAATTGGCCACAACTTCAGGCTTTGAATGTAATTCTATTCCAGCCTCCCGCTGGAGGGCTGAAATTTTGAACAGGGTCATGCCAAGGATTCTGGCCACCCCCAAGGCGCTAATCTATGTAGGTGGCCATCCCTGGGCCGCTGCTGGAAGCTCTGTGGCCAGCTGCAGGGATATAACTCCTGGCTGCCCTGGGAATTGAGGGCAGTCTGCAAGGGCCTGCAACCACTGCCCACCTGTAGCAGGGAAAGTGGTCATTATCACGTTCCAGCCCAGCAACAACACTTGGGTATGAAGCAAGGGGAAGGGTGTGGTTTGGGGTGAGTTCCAAGGGGTATATAGAGAGGCTTGGAGTTGTGGCTCCAGGCAGGCTTGTGGGTTGCCTTCTGAGTCAGGACTGCTCTGTGATTAAGCCAGGTCTGTGCTTTCTTAACAGGGAACCATATGTTGTACCATATGTTGAATCTCTTCAAATGTAAATGGCAAATGATATAAGACAACCTGCAAAGTAATACTTCGGAATTTTCTACCCATAAAAATGAAATACCTGCTTCTGTGAAAAAGGGCTCCAAATGTACAGTGCTGCTGTTTAGTTAGGCAGAAATATCTGCAGAAATAATTGAGGAGGTTTTATACATCCCTCCCCCAATGTGGGCATTTTCATCATTTGAAATACAGGATTTCCATTGAATTGACAAGCTTTGCAACAAATACCTTTGTTACCATATAGCTTACTTATATAAAAAAAGAGGAGCCTGAATGGGGTGAAAAGTGAGTGAAGGCCATCTATACAGCATTTACTTTTCAGAAATAAAACAGCTTATTGATTTGGAGAACCAAAGATCTAGTTAGTTCACTGCTTCAGCTTCTGCTCGGTTTATTTCCCTTGTTTAAAACAGCAGAAGCACTGACTCAGGCCATTACTTTCACTGGGTTGTTAAGGTTTTCTTAATGCTGACTTTCTGTTCTGTAGCACCACAGAAAATATCCTCCTAGCTTCTAATCACTGTAATAACTAACCTTGAGGAGTCATTAGTGTGGGTTCAAACAATATCCTATAATAAGTGTGCTCTGAGGAAGTTGACATAGTTTATCTCCTCGATTCATATTCTTGTGAAAATAATGGGTTGTGAAACAACATTGGTGTTTTTCTTGTACCATACAAAATCTTGACAAGCTATGTTGATATTTTCCTCTCCGATATTGGGTAGAAACACTTTGTTAGACAATATGCCATCTACAAAATTCATACGTTCTAAGTTGGAGATGGGTTGTTGTGTAGAGAAACAAATGCAGGCATGCCAAAGCCCTCTCCGATGCCAGTGAATGCCTAGATTCCTTACGGAAGCTATGTAAATGGTTCTATGATTAAATTCAATTTTCTTTCCTTCACCAATGAATAATGTGGCAGAATTCTACCAGTGGTAACCGAGTATCTTTTCTTTGGTTATTGTGTAAGCTTCCAGAGGAGTCACTGAGTGGAATTGTCATTCTGCAGCAGGAAAGTTATTGCCTCCGGTATGCAACCAGTAGTAAACAAAGGCACTAGTTGTAGACATGCTTCTGTAAAAGTGATCATTCCAATTGTAATGCAATACCTGTGACAGGTAAACAGGTCTTCTTCTTCTTCTTCTTTCTTTGGCAATCACTCGTAGCCGAGTAAGATAGTCTTCCATGAACACGGTTTTAACGGTGAGTCCATAAGTGACTGTGGAGGCCAATTATGGATCCACACATCCTTCCACAGTGGGGACATAGGTTTCTGGGCTAGAGTTGATCACGGTGAGGGGTACAGGTGACGGGTAAACAGGTATGGTCAGTCAGTCAGAGATGCTTCTGAGCAACATGTATGTATGGTGATTTTCTTCATGAACATCTTTTATACATTATACACACCACACATTTAAAGCACTCTTCAAACACTTTAACAGGTATGACTTTCCCCAAAGAATCCTGGGAACTGTAGTTTGTTAAGGGTGCTAACCTCACAGATCTTTGATTTCCATTACCCTTAACAAACCACAGTTCCCAGGATACTCCATGACTTCTAGACTGGTAGAAGATTGTGAATGTGAGAGAGCACTGTTGCCATGTTACTGCAGAAACAAAAAGTCAGACAAGATCCACTACAGGGCAGGCCCAGGAGGAAAAACTAGTGGAGCACCACTTGTCACCACCTACATCAGACATTACAAATTAGGTATTAAAAATGGTAACATTCAGAAAGCAGCAGGAGAATATTTCACTCTTCCATGACTTCCTGTAGAGTCCTAAGAGTCACTGTTATCCAACGAAGAGGGAGGCTTGAGCGGAAAAGCTCAGGCCTGGAATTCATTAGCATATTTGGTTCTGTGGAATCTCATTTTAAATCCTTGGGATGGCTAGCTTGCTTCAGAGATAAATTATCCCTCTTTTGGTGTTTGTTTACACTATTAGTCTTGCTTCCTATTCATCACCCTAGTGGCAGTTATTCAGGAGTGGATCCACCCATACTGACTTCATCTTCTAGTCATTCGATTGGATTTTGCATTCATTTATGCTCTGTGACATGCCCATTGCTGTCATTTTCACTGTTTGGTTCTTTGTAAAAATCAACATACATTTTTCTGTTTTTACTTCTGTCTCAGGGTATATAAACCTACACACTTAGAGTAGGGTACATCTGATAAAATGGGATGTATCCTATGAAAGAAAGAAATAATGTTTTTTAAGTCTTTAAGGTGGCACTATATGTGGTCTTGGCTTTTGTCTTTTTCTGCAGCTGTCTAGTGTATTTCCCTTTTTGGAGTTTTGTCATTGCTGCATTGTTTTACTACTGCTAACCTCTCTTGCACTGGATTACATATAGAAGCTAATAACAGTGGTGAGTTACTTGTAGAATCAAGGGAATTGTTGCATATATTAGGACAAATTACAAAGGCATCACAGCATTCGCATGCACTCCACTGACCCTACTTTTACTCAACACTGTAGTCTTTCAAAATAAAGACAAATAAGAGCAAAATTATTTTAATAGTGATATTTGTTTTGTATCTTGTTTTCTACCCGAGAGGTATAAACAGGAACAGAAGGAGGTAAAAGTTTTGAGTCCAGGAAATTTTAGATCAAAAATTTCTACTGAAAAGGTTGGACACTTTCTCATTGTGTGATATTAACTTAGTTCTCACCTTCTCACCTTCCTATAGCCATGCAAGCAGTCCTCTGCCCCTCCACCCCCAAAAAGCATTCTTATAAGAAAATTATCAAAGTACACTGGTTTTACTGGTTCCCTCATGGGGAATCTTTACTTTCCCAAAGGAAAGTATAATTACCAATAAGAACCAATCAACTAATGACTTAATATATCTCCCAGGGTCATTTCCTCACATTAGTAACCTATTTATATGAATTACTGGACCTTTAATGTAATTACCTTATTATTAATAATAAATAACAAGCAACATTTCAATAATTGCTTTTATTAACTATCAGCAAATGTGCTCATTAGTACTTTGTGTGCCAACTTTTCAGTACTTAGTGCTCCTATTAGTCATATATCCAGCTTGCTTCAAACGAGCAATCCTATTCTTACACTACACTTGGACTGGAGATATGGCTCCACTAGGCTGGTGGATCAGCTGCCAAACCCAATGTGTACTCATCCTAGAAAGGGAGGTAGAGAACAACTAAAAAAGACAAAAACAAGACAGAAATGACCACACCCGCAGCGGCCCTAGAAACACGGCCACATTGTGGTTGCTGCTGCTGTTGTTAAAATTTCCATACAACCCTTCATCCCAAGATGTCATGGCGATTTGCTATACACACACACACACAGAGAGAGAGAGAGGGAGAGAGCATAATAGCAATCAAAAACAAGGCCCCCACAGTTCAAAAGGTCATAGATTGTTTAATCAGTCAAAGGCCTGGCAGAAGAGGAATATTTTTTCCTCTTAAAGGTATGTAGTGAAGGCGCGAGACGAGCCTTCCTGGAGAGAGCATTCCATTAGCAGGGAGCCACTCCAGAAAAGGCCCGTTCTTGTGTTGCCACTCTCCAGACCTCTCACAGAGGAAGCACACAAAGAAGAACCTCAGATGCTGATCACAGGGTCCGGGTTGGTTAACATAGAGAGAGGCAGTCCTTGTGGTATTGTGGTTCTGAGCCATTTAATTGTTTCACTGAAATCCCTTTTTGTGTACCTATTTATATGGGCTGGCTTCTATTCTGTGGGGTATATTGTGCAATATTGTTCCTCATATAACAGGATTATTTGTTTTAATATATATCTTTGTTTGGAGTGTTAAACCCCTCATAAAATTGTAAATAAAACTGATTGATTTATTAATGGCTAACAATAGAAAAGAGGCATACCAGTTTCCATAGATAATAGCTCTTCCTTCCAAATTTCTTTACAAAGGGTTTTGGGGGGTTTTGCAGCTAGTGTCATTACAAATTATAATTAATACTATATCCTGTCACTGTTAAATCACAATACTTTCACCAAATCAGGTAGCTGACTTATGAGTAAAGATAAACTTAACTCCTTGTGGTGCTTTCTTCAAACTTTCTTCATTCACAGTTATTTCAACCTTCTTGCCTGCACAAGCAGTGATATGATGCTTCTACAAGAGTACTCTCCAGCTCTTTCTTTGAAGATGCTTTTCTCAAAGGTGCTTTGCACAGAGCCTTTCTCTTGATTGAGGATTCTTTTTAGACAGCTGGAAATTCCTGATGGATGTTAATTGGAGTTCAGTTTGAAGATACAGAACTGCTTTTATTGCATCTGTCTTTCATTGATTTCTGTGAAAACCATAATTAGACTTTTTTGTGGGTGGAGATATCCATGGAATGTTTCAGTTCAGTGCCTTTATCCATTTAAAAGATGGACTTTATTTTCCTTTGTTTTTCTTAAAGCTGTATCAGTCAGTTTTATTGAGAATGTGGATTCTTTCACACTTTGCCTCTGTGTGGAATTATGTGTACATTTGAATTATGTTCTACTGAATCCTCATGCAGTCACTTTAGATTCTTAATAAATATTTATCTTGTGCTTAGTAAGAAGATAACAAAACAGCTGAAATAATTTTTGGTCACCTATTGTTAAGGAAGAAAACTTAAAGATGTTCAGATACAGGTATCAAGCACAAAAATAATTTATTTAACTATTTGAATTCATAAACTTATTAAATCAATTTGATACAGCATTAAGTCTTAACCCAGAATAAATAGGGGAAGTCACATAACTTAGAAAGGATGCATCGTAGAGTTGTAAAGGATCCCAAGGTTCATCTAGTCCAGGCATGTCCAACAGGTTGATCGTGATCTACTGGTTGATATTGCCAAGAAGTTTCTGGTCGATCGCAGGTAGATCTCTCCCCCTAAAAAAAGCTCAACAACTCTTCTCTCCCCTCCCCCATAAAAGCTCAATAACCATGGGGAATGAGTTTGTGTGTGTGCATGGGATGGCTCCCCTTCCCTCGAGGACGTAACAGGGATGCTGCCCTGTGCCTATCAGAGACCGGATCCTAGCCTGCACCCTGCTTGGTCAAATGGGGATGCAGGCTGAGACTTGGGCAGAGCCAGGGGGCGAATCCGAGGGCTGACCATGGGCTTCCCGGGATCCGCCCCTTGCCCATTTAAGCAGCCCACACCTGGGACAATCCCTCTTCCTTCCCTTGCCAGTTTCCAGTGTGGATCTCTGTAGGTCTCCTGCATTGTGACTAGGAAGGTCTTAGACCTTGCCTGGCATCTCATCCTTCCTCGCCTGCCCGCTTCTTGTATCCACACTGCATCGTGCCCACAAGAGAGGAACAGGCGTCTGTCCCAGTTTCTGCATTTGCCGGGCTTCGTTGTTGCGAGGGAGCTTGGGAAACTGAGTTCCCTGGTATGGTGAGTAGTTCCTTTGCAAGGGCTGAGGATCCTGGGAAACTCAGTTTTTCAGCCATTTGGCTTGACTGAGAGCCAGTGTGGTGTAGTGGTTAAGAACGGAAGACTCGTAATCTGGGGAACCGGGTTCGCATCTCCGCTCCTCCACATGCAGCTGCTGGGTGACCTTGGGCTAGTCACATTTCTTTGAAGTCTCTCAGCCCCACTCACCTCACAGAGTGTTTGTTGTGGGGGAGGAAGGGAAAGGAAAATGTTAGCTTTGAGACCCCTTTGGGTAGTGATAAAGCGGGATATCAAATCCAAACTCTTCTTTCTGTGTTTGTGTGGGGGAAAGTTTTTCTGTTGGCTAAAAAGCTGTTTTTTGAGGCTGGTTTTGTTTGCTGCTTACATAACGTGGCCTTCAGTAATCAAAGAATTCAGGAATTGGATACCAGCATTATTGGGCCCTTCATTGATTGTTGGTGCATTTTAAAACTGAAGCCACGTGGGGCCAGGAGTCAGGCACTGGTTGGGTTGTTATTTTCCTCTGCCTTCTGGGTGGGCATGCTCTTGCTAAAGTTTCCAGTGCTACTGCTTTAAATAATAAAGGAAAATTAATTAAAAGGAATAAATAAATATTTTTTAAAAATAATCATTGTACATTTTAAGTTAACAAAGAGGGTAATTGAGCCATTGGTGCTTCAGCTTCCTTACGTGGGGCAGGTCCCAGCCTCCATTGGGGGTGGCATTGTTTTGCAGCAAGGTTTGATTTCAAGGTGGTTTGTGTGCAGCTTTGGCTTGTATGCAGCTTTGGTTACCAAAATGGTGACTCAGGTGTCACACTAACAATGGATGAAGGCATGTATTTTTTAATAAATCTTGATAGGTAGGTTAAAGGAGTGAGCAAAGGAGTTTGTGTGGCGTACAGTTTTGTGAGTGCTTTTATGCAACTCTCTCCCAAGAAATCTCTAAAAGTTTCTGTTGTCCACCGTAAGAAAAGTATTTTGACAGTGCTCCCTCCAAAAAGGTTACCAAAATTAGTCACCCACCTTTCCTGCTCCCAAGAAAAGGTCAACAACGATGAGCTGAACCCCTCAAAATGGGGGTAGATCACTGCCAGATTTTAATTCTGAAAGTAGATCACAGTCTTTGGGGAGTTGGCCACCTCTGATCTAGTCCAACCCCTAGCACTGCA